GAAACAATTCCTGGAGTTTCTTAACTGTCGTAAGTCTTCATTTTCATAACCTCCATTCCATCCTCTGCACTGCCCTCTGCCCCTTCTAGTGCTTGATGTCCTCGTCACCCTTACTGGTTAGCATGACATACAAAGCCCTTTGTACTGTGACTCTTGCCTGCCTCTTCCCACCTACTGCCTCCCCACCTTGCACATATTTTCCCCCTACGTTGAATGCCCCTTTTGTGGGCAGGTAGGGAATATCCTGTTTATCATTCAAAAGCAAGCTGATATCCCCTTTCCCATAGAATTAAACTAATTCCTCTGTACTATACTTGCCTTTTTTAAGTATGTCAAGAAAAACCAGAGCTGGGTGGTAAAAACAGATTTTATTTAGAACTATTGCAATAGGAGAAAGTGGTCCATATAGAACCAGGCTCCATTCTGAATATAGTGTGGACCAGTGCGAATTTATGCCCAAGGAGCAGGGTGGGGAGTCTGGTGGAAAATTACTAAGAGAAATCATCAGGGGTCAGGGGAGTTCTGGCTAAACCAGCCTAACAGAATTTTTGATGATGGGACGCCAGGATGATCAGACATCAACCTGGGGGTGGTGGAGGATGAGGAACCTGGAGTATACTCCCCATCAGGGTGGTTATAGGGACTTAACTTTCCTCCCAGCAAGTACCACTTGGGTTGTATTTCCTCTTCTTCCTTCTGCTGCTGGCTCTTGCAAGGCCCCACAGTTGCCAGGGATTCCTCTTTCTCACCCTGCCTCCAGCTGGGCCTGTAATTAGGGAAGGAATGGGAAAGAAAGAGTGACTTCCCTTTTTCCCCAGCCCTCATTTATAGGTGCTCCCCACCCATCTCATTTATAATCTCTGTTCTGGTTAGCAACATTGCTATGCTCTGTACAGTTTTCAAAACAGCCTGGCATCAAGCTTTCTGAGGAAATGTAGAAATGATGGGGAAGCTCTTGATCTAGAGCTGAATCTGTGCCCACATCCATGACATCAACTATGTGACACCTTCTTATTCTGAAGTTGTTTTGTCCAGTAAAAGCATTAGCTTGTTCGAAACTTGCACATTCCCAAAAAAGACCTGGCGCTTGCCCAGCTCCTGGAAATATCCTCTAAGCCGTTGGAATATCCTGCTTGATAAAATTGTCTTTTGACTCGGGGCCTTGGGCCCTCCCATATCTAGGTCATGCTAAACAATAGGATTTATGATGAAGGATCACGTTCTATTAATTTGGCTTCTGAAAGGGTGGAAGACTGAGTAACTAACGTCAGCACCTGGGTGCTCTGTGCCTATATGACTCATCCCAATAAAAACATTGGATACCAAGACTCGGAGGAGCTTCCCTGGTTGGCAATATTCTGCACACGTTGTCACACATCATCGCTGGGAGAATTAAGTCCTGTCATTACAACTCCCCTGGGAGGAGTCAACTGGAAGCTTGCATCTGGTCTCCCCTGGATTATGTCCTATGTGCCTTTGCTTTTCTAGTTTTAATCTGCATCCTTCCATGTTTAAGAATCTGTTAAAAGGCACACAGAGCACCAACACATGGTTATATCTCGTAACCATGAATATAACAGCTTTTCTGAGTCATCCGAGAGGGTGAACTTAGGGACCACAACACAGCTGTGGTCATCAGTATATGTCAAGAATTAGTCTTCCGTTAGTAACAGCATTTAAATTCTGAGTGGGTAGAGTTGTAGGGGGTTTTGTGTTTTTTTGTTTTTTTAAGATTTTATGCACTTATTTTAGAGAGCATGAGCCTGGGTTTGAGGGTGGGGGTGGAGCAGAGGGAGAGGGTCCAGCAGGCTCTGTGCTCAGCGGGCGTCAGTCCACGACCCTGACATCACAACCTGAGCCAAAATCAAGAGTTGGATGCTTCACTGACTGAGCCACCCAGGAGCCCCTGTAGAGTTTTGTTAGGGGATAGTGTACATGGCTTTAAAAAAGAACCCCATGCTATTGTTACATGCTTTTCTTGCTTCCCTACCTCTGCCCACCATCACTATCCTAGAGTCTTAGTAAAGAGAATAATTTAAAAATAAAACTAAGGGAAGAGATTTCTTTAAAAATACAAATAGAAGGGGGCACCTGGGTGGCTCAGTCATTAAGCGTCTGCCTTCGGCTCAGGTCATGGTCCCGGGGTCCTGGGATCGAGCCCCGTATCGGGCTCCCTGCTCGGTGGGAAGCCTGCCTCTCCCTCTCCCACTCCCCCTGCTTGTGTTCCCTCTCTCGCTGTCTCTCTCTGTCAAATAAATAAAATCTTTAAAAAAAAAAAGTCCAAATAGAGGTATTAGGGATGAGGTAAGTAGGAATCACATAACTGTTTTGTTGCCCTGTGTGCCTTACAACAGATTCTTAAACACTTTCATTTTAAGACCCCTTTATTCCCTTAAATTATTGAAAACTGCAAAGAGATTTTGTATGTTTTATCTTCATAATTTAAAAAAAAATTAACTTGTTCTGCTGGGATCTACAGTAGTGTCCACTAATGTGAATGAATCCAGTAAAAAGTAGATTGAAAAGGTAACCAGCATAAGTAGAATGGTATCTATGGAAAAATCCACTCCAGCTTCAAAATACCTGGTAATGGACCTATTTCATGGGATTGTTTTATCCCACATTCTTGGGAACTCAGCAGTGACTTCTGGGTGAACCAGCTCTTCTTTTGGTAAATTTATAATGAAGGAAAGTAGCATCCAAACTAAGTAAACCATAAGATGTATTTTGCTATTTTCTGTTGTTTTTGTGACACTTGCATGTTCTGAAGAAGTAACGTATCAAAAATCCTACATAATATGCTCATAACTCATTTTGAATACTGCATTCTTCCTATAAAAAGTACCCATCTTTATGCAGAATCAGAATTTGGGGATATGTTTGTTGTTCCTCCAGGGATATGTTATAATACTGGACTTCAGGATAAGGGGAAACTGTAAAACCCTTACAGCAGTTTTACGTCAGATGGCTGTACTCTTGTATACGATAGAACATGAACAGCCGAGGTAAGTTTTCTTAACTGGTAGTTATATTGTTCTCCAGATGCTGCGGACATCCTACTTTTCTCACTTTCCTCAAATAAACTATGAGCTTTTTTTTTTTTAAACAGCAGGAGATGTCTTTATGTGTGGACACGCAGGATTTAACACGGTATCTGGTACACAGGACCAAACAGAGAGTAATTTTCACAGTGTTAAAGCTCATTTATTAGACTGTTGAGTTTGTTCTAAACATCTTTATAAGTATTTAAAACATGTAACAATCGTCGGAAGTAAGGAAGTAGTGAGAAAGCTCATTGGAATTGTTTTCTTCCAAGAGAGTTGTTCTGAAAGCTTAAGAAACCAGGACATTGAAATCTGTTCCATCATTGTTGCTGTGAATCACAGGTTGCCCCAGATCCTCCTTTATCTTAGCTGAACTTACACCTGTGGTCTTTCCTCAGCCACTTTGGTGGTTCTTAGGGTTAATGACATTAATGATTATTCTGGGTCTAAGTACCCACTTTCAGTACAGTAAGTCATTTACTCACTTTCACAATACCGTATTTACTCACCTCACAATACCAGGGGCAGAGTGGTCTTTGAGAAATCAGAAAAACACTACATATTATAAGATTAGTTCATTGTAAGATTAGTTCAAGGTCTGGTAACATTTCAGTATCTGGCTCACATTTTAGGCTACCTTTGTTAGGTCTTTTAAAAAATCAGTAGGAAGGTAAGATTGGTGACTTGAAGATGATTCAACTGGAAATGATACTGATAGTATAGAAAAGGAGCCAGTAAGCGCACAAGTTTTACACTGGCCTGAAATTTACAGGAGTTTTTGAAATGGGTATGAACAAATACCTCACTGGAGAGCAAAGAAAGGCAGTTCATTTTCAATAGGCCCATGAGGAGGTGGCAGCTGAGGGGACACGCACTTAATAAATGTCTATTTATTATGTATGGGTTATGGAATAACATGTCTTAGTTAATTATTTCAGTAATGAAAAGTGAGAGTTTGGAGAGGTTGTGAATGCCACGCTTGCATTGCCATGTTTGGGTTAAGGTAAAGCGGGTCAAGATATTTTTTTTTAAGATTTATTTATTTGAGAGGGGGGAGGGGCAGAGGGAGAAAGAAAATCTTCAGGCACACTCCCCACTCAGCGAGGAGCCCAGTGGGGCTCAATCCCACAACCCTGAGATCATGACCTGAGCCAAAATCAAGTCTGACACTTAACAGACTGAGCCACCCAGGCACCCCAGGTCAAGCTATTTTTAAAAATCTGACTAGAAAGGGCTTAGCTCTAGGAATGAGTAAAGAAAAAAGAAATTGGCAAAAGAGGTAAGGAGTGAAGTTTTAACTACCATTGCTGTGATTAAGGAAATCTGGGCTTTGGCAGGCTAGATTGTTAGCAGTTTCTGTTAGCAACTGAAGAACTTGAGTGCTGAGTTGGCAGAAAACAGTGTTAACCAGAGAAGGAAACCTGCTTCTGAAGATACTGGGGACGTCAGAACGTGGCATCTCAGATTTTCTAAGTGCCCTTTTGAAGACTTCACTCATTATACAGATCAGGAAACTTAAACCCAGAGGAGTCAACACGTTCCTTTGTGTTCACTTGCTCTCAGATGAATATAGTTCCTCTTAAGGACATTTAACATTTTTGGAACAGGCAGCTGAGTCAAAGTGAATCGAAAGCTCTTGTGAGAAGAAACAAGTTAACAGCCTCCAACATGGGGCAATTAGCTGAGGCAAAAATTGGAATTGGGTGCTGAGCACCTCCTATGATCTATGTGGTAGTCAAAGCAAAGGTTCCGGGCAATGCCTAGGGCTCTGAAGGGCAGAACTGACAGAACAGAACTAGGAAGGTGAGGTCTGACAGGCAGTCTCACCCCAAGTTCAAAGCAGAGTGACAGTTCCAGCATGAAGGTTACTGACGAGCCTCCTTGTTTCTGAGGATCAGAAGGGACAGAATGAGGACAATTGAGGCTGCACTTACAGTGCCATGTGACAACCAATCTAAGAGCAATTTAAATCAAGTTTAACATCCTAAATAGGAGTGATCTGTGCCCCTTCAAATTATGTGTTTGTATGTGAGGTAAAATGGGCCACAAATGTCTCTTGAGGATGAGGTTGCTTTTTGGTCCCATCTGTTGCCCCCTGTAACTACTACAATGACACCAAAGATTAGATAAGTCTGAATATGGGTACTAGAATCTAACAGCAAGGAAAGTTCCCTCCCCAGAGTTCTTGGGATACTCAGATATTTCCTTAAATCAACTGAGGTTGGAGGCAAAGGAGGTAGAGACGTTGTCAGTAAGCAAGCCTTTTAAGTTCCAAACAGCTACCTGTTCAGGCTCAATAAATGAACTAGATTTCTGCCCAAAGTTCCGTATTTTCATTGCTGATGCCATTTGAGCTTTGGGCACTCTGACTCAGCAGCCACCCCCATACTCGCTTTCAGCTGGGGACCTTGGGCTTGCTCTCCCATTGGCATGATAACATTCCTTTCTCGTTCTTGCACTGGACCAATGACCAAATGTCATGAAATGAAGAGTATGCTTAACTCATGGCTCACCTTCAAGAGAAAATCTATGTGTACATGCTCTGTAGTCAAATTATATCAGATTTAACGTTGCGTTACTGATTGTATTTTGCCCCCTTTTACTGATTCTAACCTCATTTGCACACATTTTGAACACACCACTTTATGACTAGGAAGAAATCCCCTTTAAAATAAGGTGAAAGTTAGAATCTGAATTCAACTTCTCCACATCACAACCCCATACAAGGAATTTTATACCTCCCCACAGCCTAGTGTTTCTCATTTTAACACTAAAATATCTACTCTCCTCTGCATGAGTACATTGGAACGGAGGTCTAGGGATGTTCCTATCCTGCCTCCACTTCCTCACACTTGCTGCAGCTCAGGGCGCAGTACCTAATATTTCCTTTGCCTTACACCTGTCACATTTAGGAGGGGCAGCGGAGCGTGGGCGTCGGACTGTCAACTTCGCCTTATGTTCTAACAGCAATTGACCTTTCAAAGACTGCTGGGGGAAAACGCTCAAAGCCTCTTCCGGGATTTTCCAAGGACCCCGCCTTAACGAAGTGCAATTCCCAGTGGCTTGCAAGTTTCCAGCAGGGAGGATAAATCTGACCACCTAAGTCCAACTCTCTGACACTTCGGGAAATGTCCAGGAGTTAGGAAACGCATCGCCGTGGTCTCTCCAGCCTAGCTGGACTCGCCCCACAAAGAGCTCGGCACCAGCGGTTCCGGTGACCACGGGGAGCTCTCGGAGACCGCCGGGCCGCGCACCGTGTTAGGATTGGAAGACGCGCCCGCCGTTCCCTCCCGACCCCAGGCGGCGGAGCTGCTGCGGGAGACTGCGCGTGCGCGCTGGGCGGACGGTTCCGGAGACGGCGTTCTTAGCCGCCTTCCGTCTCCGGCGACAGCATGAAGACCGCGGAGGACGCCAGAGGAGCGCGCAGCGAGGGACCGCGGGAGATAGGCCTCTGCCTTCTCTGCGGCCTCCCGGCAGCAGGAAAATCGACCTTGGCGCGGGCCCTCAGCCACCGGCTACGGGAGGAGCGGGGCTGGGCCGTCGGCGTCGTCAACTATGATGACGTCATGCCGGACGCGTTCCTGGAGGAGGCGAGCGCGCGGCCATTGGTCAGTACGGAAGGGGCGGGGCCTAGACCCCGATTTTCGAAGGAAATGGAGGGGCTCCCACTAAATGCTGGGCTACACCCAGTGTGGGAGGTGCGTCCCTGACAGAGGGGGAGAGACCGGGATTCGAGAAGAGTGGAGTTGGTTTAATACTGAATATGTTGATTCCATCTTAAATTCATTGTAGAGATTTATATGTCTCTTTGGGGCATGTATGTATTGTAGCTTCTATAGAGTGAGGCTTAAGACAGCGGTAGGTTTTGTCAGCGTGTAACATGGAAACCCCCCCACCATGGTCAGGAATGCTCCTGAAAAATCCTTTAGGAAGAATATTCCTAGGAAGGGGCGGAATCTCTTAAAAATTTCAACACAGCCAGTTTAGCATCAGCCATGGGCGAATCTTTGTGGATCTTTAAGTTTATACAATTTGCGGAAATTTTTTTAAGTAAAAGCATACAGAATTATAAATAACAAAATTCCTAGGGTCCCTCCCATGGTAATAGAGAGTGGCTGTACAAATGAAGGGCCTGGCCTCTGAAGCTCACTCTTCATTCATCTCAGGGTAAATCTTCCTCTGCCAGCATAGGAAAAGATGGTTGTTTCTTAGTTGATCCCCAGATGAAGTAATGGGCTTCTGTTTAGTGACCAGCTCGTATGTTGCAAGTACACACTTCCCTTTAAGCCTTCAAATCACACTCAGTGCAGCGAGATGCATCCCCGTGGAGAAGCGTGTGAGAACAGATCTCTGAGGGGAGAGTAGATTCATGTCACCCATCTCGTTCTCACTCTAGAGCAAATCCCCTTTGACATGACAGATTCTGAAAAATTAAAATACATTTGTCGTTTAATACCCTAGTGTAGATGGATGCACCTCAATAACATGCAAGTATGATGTGATTCCACTCTGTAAATACGTATGTACAAATACAGTACATTTGGTGGATGGAAACATTTTGGACTGCTCCAGCAAAATTATATATACTTTCTTATTCTTGTTTGATTGTGAGGTAAGTGCAGTATCAAGTCCCTGGTAGCACTAGATTTAGTTGGATGATAGTATTTTCACCACTTGAGTGAAAGCTGGAAGTTGTTGACAGGAATCATTATTTGCTGGGCTTTTTCCTCACTTTTATTATATTTTTTCCACTCCTCCCTACAGACGAAGGCCACGGGACTCACCTAGTCACCATGGGTAGGCAATCTCACCTTCTAGGAAGTGATCTTGTTTCCTTTTTAGTAGGTTTGGGTGATGTATTTGTTATATGTGTTGTAATCTCAGTGGTGGGGCAGGGCCTGGACGGGAGAGGAATCCTTATCTCGTGTTCCCATGTGTGCTCTCCAGCCTGGGCCTCGTAACTCTGTTCCTGTGGTCCACAGTGCTTGAGCAGCACAAGATTACCTGTATTCTCAAGTTACTTATTCTCTTCCCTTCAGTCTACCATCTCTGTCGTTCCCCATCCCATTTCAGCCCTGTTGTTAGCCCGAAGTCTTCTCCTCTTGACCCAGGCATCTTTCAGCTGATCCTTTCTGTCCACAACTTTTCTCATTTCAAGGGCAAACCAGCATAGGTATATCTAAGCCAGACTATTTTATTTCGGCAGGATATTGATTTTGGCTCATTTCTTCTGGAGGGTAACAGTGGACGGACGATTGATCTAGCAGAGAAATAGAGATGTGCAAACAAACGCCTACACCCTCTGCCAGAGCGGAGACCCGCCTTATGCAGAGCAAGATGTCAGTAGGCAGGGGAGGGTCTCAGCTGTCTCCTGCGTGGTTGAGTCTGAGGACACTTCAGAGGACTAACATCAGTGAGTAGGAGTTTCTGGGCAGAGAAAACCATATATACATGGAGATACGGAGGCATGACAGAAGCAGCTGTGCTCAGAGAATTCCAGATGGTTTAGCGCTGTGAGCTGAAATGGCCCTGTAGGGCGGGTGGCAATCAATCGTGACCACCCTACTGACCAGAGCCTAATGTAAATTGTTAATTCTTCCGTCTTTTGTAGCCATCCCAATGGAAATTGCTTCGACAGGAACTGTTGAAGTACCTAGAATACTTCTTGATGGCTGTCATTAATGGGTGTCAGATGTCTGCCCCACCCAACAGGACTGCAGCCCTGTGGGAGGATTTTATAAGGTGCTTAAAGGATCAAGATCTGATATCTTCTGCTGCGCTGGAGACCCAGTCTTGCTACCTCTTAACGAAGATTGCTGTTTCTAGACCTTTATTTTTGATCTTAGATGACAACTTTTATTATCAAAGTATGAGATACGAAGTCTACCAACTGGCTCGGAAATGTAATTCAAACATTTTTTTTTTCTTACACACAGACATTTGTTTGCATATCAAAATCACTACCGTTCTTAGAATTTAATTGGATCGGGAAGTTAGTATTGATTTACTTAATTCTCAAAGCTAGATGTTCAGCATTGCAAATGCTTTTTCCTGCTGCAGCCAGGATAATTTGTCTAATTTGTTTATGTCACATTTTGGAAAAAAACAGTGCACCAGTAATTCTGTGGTTTAACATTGTTTTCAGATTCATTAGGCTTTTGCCAGCTTTTTTTAGATTGTCCTCTCGAGACCTGTTTGCAGAGGAATGGCCAGAGATGCCGGGCACTGCCTGCCGAGACCATTCACCTGATGGCAAGAAAGATAGAGAAGCCCAACCCGGGGAAAAATGCTTGGGAACACAACAGCCTCACAATTCAGAGTACGCCGTGCTCTTCTGAGGCCAGGTATCCCACACAAAGCTGACCTTCACCGGGTGCCTCCCTGAGCCGGGCACAGTGCTCCTTGCTTGACTCATGTCCACTTGGTTAATACTTACACAAGCCTTAGAGAGAGATTGTTACCTTCCCTTTACGGAGAAGAGGCCACAGAGTGAGAAAGTTTGTTTGTCCAGAGCCCTCAAGCTTGTGGCGGTGGAGATGGTGTGCCCGCAAACGTGTACTCTCGTGAAGACTGTGTTGTCACGGAGATCCGCGCAGGGAATGCAGAGTGGGGTGCATCTTTGAAACTCGCTAAAGTAGCACAGTCTAAACAGGTTGCCCAGTAATTTTCTTCTAGAAAGAAAAAGGGTGGAAGTAGCCGAGTCGGAATTTTGCCTTCAACCTCCCTATTGTTACACGGCCGCATGTGTTGTGAGGCTTTTGGGCTGCTAATGCTTCCGTTCACGGTCTGTGTCTTGAGAGTTCTGCAGCAGCACATTTGTAATGGAATTTTCACGGATGACGGAAATGTTCTCTATCTGTTCTGTCCCGTGTAGCAGCTGCTGGCCACGTGACTGTTGAGCTCTTGCAACAGCCAGTGCCTCTGATGGCCTGAATTTTGAATTTTATTTTAATTGCTTTAAACTTAAATAGCCTCCTGTGGCTAGTGGTTATTGTATCATAGCAGAGTTCTAGAGCTGTCTTGCCTACATTTCCATAGCCCCTGCCTGGCCGTTGTTCACAGGGGGTCAGGAGTTTTTATTTTTTTATTTTTTTTAAAGACTTGAGAGAGAGAGAAAGAGCATGAGCAGTGGGAGCCGCAGGCAGAGGGAGAGGGAGAAGCAGACTCCCCACTGAGCAGGGGGCTCAACGGGGGCTCGATCCCAGGACCCTGGGATCATGACCTGAGCAGAAGGCAGATGCTTAGCGACTGAGCCACCCAGGCGCCCTGGATCAGCAAACGCTAATTTTTAAAGTTCATTCCTCAAAATGTTCGGTTCCCAACATACAGTTTTCCATCCATTTCATAATATATACTTGAATATACTAAAAAAAAAAAATGGATTTAAGGGACTGTTGTTTATTAGGGTTTATGAAATGAGCTACGGCTGAGGTTTCTAATTTTAACTTTTAATATCCTGAAACTTTGAGCAGGCCCGTAACCAGCTGATTGCTACTCATTCTGGAATACTTAAGATTTTTTCCTTTGGAAGTTGAATGGCTGGTTGAGGCATCGAGATATCTATCCCGTGAGAATGGCCTAATGTTATCAATGCTTTGAGACGAGTGAGGGCCAGTTCTTGCTAAAAGCGAGGAAGAGTGTTGAGTTTCTCCCATGCTGTTGCCAACACTTAGCATAATCTGTTTTGTCTTGGGTCTTCAGAACCTGGCCACCTGCTCTCACAGGTCCAAAATAGTTACAGCATCAGTGAAGGGGTTGTTTGAAACCTGGTGGCCCTGTATCGGAAGTTGAAAGATGATCTGACAAATGTACCTTCTCCAGGCTTCCGTAAGGTACTACTGTGTAACCACCACTACCGCTAATGGTGTTACTACTCAGAGCGACAGCAGATACTATGTATCGGGCATGTTCTGAACTCGTCATATGTTTAATCTCATTCAATCCTCACAAACAACTCTTGAGGATAAGTAGAATTATCCCCATTTTATAGATGCGGTAACTGGCCCAGTAAGTGGCAGACCCAAGGTTTGGACCCAGTGCAGTCTCACTCACTCCAGAACCTGGCTCTTTCCAGCATGAGAAGGATCATCTTGAGGTTGGGATTTAACTCACACTAGCCTAAATTGTTTCAGTGCCACGCTCTGCACTCTGAGTAGAATTCAAACTCCTCACCATAAATTACGTGTCCTAACCCCAGTTAACTTTGCAACCTCATATCCTACCTACTACTTTCCCCCGTTGCTGCTTGTCAACCAAACTGGCCTTTGTTCCGTGAACGGGAGGAGCTTGTTCTTGCCTCAGGGCCTTTGTACTTGCTGTCCCCTCTACCCTCCCCACTTATTTATGCTTGATTGACTTTCCTGACCATCCTAACTAATGTGAGGAGTGTTCATTGGACTCACCAGTCACTCTTTTAACACCATCACTTTGTTTATGGTCTTTACTCAAACACTTGTCACTATCTAAAATTATAATTTTTTGCTCAATTATTGAGACAGACAATGGAATCATTACCAGGCTTGGAGAGGATAGGGATTTCGCTGTACCCGCCCCCCGCCTCACATACATGGTTGTATATTTTTCATATAAGAAGATACTCAATAAAATCTTGTTAAATGAATGAATTCTGCCTCAGCCCTCCGTGGCCCCTTGACCAGTGAGTAACTTCGCTAACCTACATCCAGTAAACAAGCAGAAGCCAGAAAGTACAGACCAGGTATCCCTCTTTAGAGAATAAAATAGAGCTGTAGTAGCCTAAAGTTTAGCACTTAATGAGGGACAAGAGAGGATGTCTTTCGAAAGCTTATTGAAATGTTTTAGGAAATTAATATTTTTTTAAATAAGGGGATTCTTTTGCTTTATAATTTGTTTTGGGCTTCTACTTTTAGATTTTGCAAGTAGAAGGTAGCTTCCAAATCATTTCACTTTTCCACTTTGGCTTAGGATCTTGGGGTTATAGCACATTTATTCCTCTAGAATTCAATTTAGTATTCATGAACACCAGTTCTTTTAAAAAAAGATGTTTGATATAAGGATTTATTTTATCTCCCCTTCTCTCATAGCCTGAAGTTGACTGATTTATTGCTTACCGCTTTGGAAAATCCAGTAAAATATATCGAGGACAATGTGGAACAAAAGGTAAATCTTCCAGTATAGATTTAGTATACATGGGAAGGCACCGCTTTCTGAAGGAATGAATGTCTTTTTGAGCTGAGTGTCAACTCTGGGTAAAATGTGGAAAATGCTGTCACTGCCGTGGCGTCCCGGCAGCTCTCAGCTTCTGACTCCTGGCTGCGGTGGTGTGTCAGCTGGTCGCAGCCAGTTGTCAAACTCTCAGAAATGTTGGAGCCTGTCGCCATTATATTGGCGTTGGTAACTTGAAACGGGCAAGGACAGGAATACGTGCACCAGAGACATTGACAAACACTAGAAACAGGTTGTGTCGCTGTTGTTTCTGGAGAGCCTGTTGTTAGACATTTACCAGCAGCCACTATCTAGATGGGACCCATCTTCTAGAGAAGGACAGCCGGAACAGAAAAGCCATCTTCACCTTCCTTTCCGTCTTATCAAATACGTGTCACACTTTAGCCGTCCTTTTCTAAAATTTCCAATAACGATGTCTGTGTCACATAGGAAACAGACAGAATTATTTGTTCAACTAACGTTCTGCATCAAGCTGACCAGACGCTCCGAAGGATTGTCTCTCAGACGATGAAGGAAGCAAAAGGTATGTTGGGTAGTTGAATGGGGTTTAGCTGATACGACTTTGCTGCTATTCCTGTCTCCTTGACACTTTGGGTAGTTAATTAGATTTCAGTCCTAATGTTTACATCATGTTTTCAGTTTCAGTATGCAACTTGGTTATATAAAAACTAAAAATTCTACCCCTAGAACAGGGTATTCATCCATCCAATACATTTTTATTGAGTGGCAGCTCTGTACTAGGCTTTATTCTGAATACCGGGGCATCAGAAGGGAGTAGAATGTTATACTGAGCGGACAGACAGACAAGCACATGAGTATCTGCTGGTGTCCTGAAGAAAAATAAAGTAGGGAAAGGCAATGTAGAGTGCTGGGAGAGCTTCTTTTTAAAGGGTAGTCTGGAAGGCTTCTCAGCGATGACATTTAAGACGAGATATGAATGAACCAGAAAGAGCGAACACGCAGTCATCTGATAGTAGATCGTTCCAGGCAGTGGCCACAAATGCAGAAACCCAGAAGTGAAGTTGTCTGGTAAGTTCTGGAGCAGAAAAGTGGCCATTGAGTCGGGTGAAGTAAGGAACGGGGAGAGGTGGTCAGGGGCCACATGTCAAATCGCCAAGCTCAGTGTGTTGTCTGTCTGAACTTGGGAGTATGTGCTAGTTCTAGAAAATAACTCCTTCAGGTTTTAAATATTGAACTCCTTGCTTTATTTAAATTTTGATTTAAAAACTATCGTTAGCTTAACATTTCTTGAGCGTTTATGTGCTCAGTGTTGCCAGTCTTTACAGCCCCGTGAGGTGAGTGTAGTTTTACAGATAGGGACATGAAGGTTCTCGGAGGATCAAGTAACTTGCACAAGGCTGAACGGCTACTAGATGCTTGGACGGCCTGGGTTCAGAGTCAAGTCTGACTTCAGTGTGTGCTTTCTCTTAGGCCCCCCACATCACCAGCATTGATCATTAATACCTTTACAAAAGCTTAGAACTGTTGGGAAAGCAAACAGTACACTAACCATATGGTGTTTTTCATATGATCCATAAGCAGATTTTATCTTGTACGCTAGGGTGTAGCCCAGTACATGAACACATGCCTGTGTGGCAGCAGGTTTCACAAAACCCTCACATGTGTAGTGGGCTCTGCTATGTTCTATTTGATGTCATTTTAGAAAAACGCTGCTTGCAACTTGCATCTCACCGGTAGGTTACAGTCCAGAGTTGGAAAACCAAAGGCCTGGAACAAACGGCAGCATAATTAGAATAGAGACAGAGGTGGTTGCAGGAGTTCTCTCTCACCCATCTGCCTTTCTTGCCTTCTATGTAAAATGAAGAGAAGGGCGGAGGGGGAATAGGGTTATGTCCAAATCACTCTTGACTCAGTTCCCACCCATTACAATACACATTTATTTATTTAGGTGAGGGAGGTGCTACTAGCTTCTAGATCCATACTTGAATGAAATGAGAAATTCCTTTCTCCTACCATCAAGAAAGTGGAAAGACAGCCCACATATCAGGAGAAAACACTTGCAGATCATAAGAGACTTGTATCCTAAAGAGGTAAAGGACTGGTACCACTCAGCAATAAAGACAATCCAATTTTAAAAATGGCCGAAGGGTCTGAAGAGACCTTTCTCCGTTTCAGTGGCCAAGCCATAAGAAAACTCACTTCTCAGTAGTCCTCAGGGAAATGCAAACCAAAACCACGAGATCCCACTGCACACCCACCAGGCCAGCCAGAATCAGTAAGTGCAAGTGGTGGTGAGGATGTGGAGAAATGCAAACCCTCATCCACGGCTGATGGGAATGGTGCAGCTGCTCTGGCAAACAGCCGAGCAGTTCCTCACACAAGGGAACGGAGTTACCATGGGACCCAGCCATTCCACTCCTAAGTATCTGCTCAAGAGAATTGAGAACATAGGTTCGTATAAATATGTGTACACAAATACTTGTTGTCAGCATCATTCCTAGTAGCTAGGATGAACCTTGAAAACAGTATGCAAAGTGAAAGAAGCCATCGCAAAAAGCCGCATTGCTTGAGTCCCCCCCGTGAAATGCCCAGAAGGGGAAATCTAGAGCCCCGTTAGTACATTAGTCGTTGCTCAGGGATTTGGGGTGGGGTGGAGGCTGGGGTAGGAGGGTGGGAGCTAATGGACGCAGGTTTCTGAGACGATGAGATGTTCTCAAATGGACCGCGGGGATAGTTGCACATATCTGCAGGTATCCTGAATCGTAGTTTAAATGAATAAAGTGTATGGTATGCCAGTTTTCTGTAAAGCTGTTTAATAACAAAGCAGTTTTGTTTCAGTAACATTACCCACGTGGCTGGTGGCTGCTGAGTTGAGTAGGACAGAACATTTTCATCGTTGTAGGAGGTTATAGATTAGACAGCTGCTCTAGAGATTTATCACAGTTTCAAACCAAATTGTCATTTCCTAGTTCTGCTTTTTTGCCTTGCTCCCTGTTAGTTCAAGAAGATTCTAAATCAACTACCTTGTCAACAACAAAAATCCTTTTCAGGCTTATCGTTTATGCTCACGCATTTCATGGCCAGGTATTGAAAAGATTTGTTTGCTATCACATGAATGGGACCTTTGTTTCTATAGTACACCTACTCGACTGTGATTATTAACAGAATAATCTGATTGGTTTGTCTGAAGTATTCAAATTCATTTCCTGATGTTATCAGGCAGCCCAACTTGATTTAGTTTACACAATTTTGAGAGTATCTTTTCATTCTAGATGAACAAGTGCTTCCTTGCAACTTGAAGCTTCTAGCAGAAGAACTCAACAAGCTCAAAGCAGAGTTTTTGGAGGACCTAAGGCATGGAAACAAAAAATACCTGTGCTCTCAACAAACCATCCACATATCTGATGTTATTTCTTGTTTTCATTATGAGAAAGACAACATTGTCCAGAAATATTTTTCAAAGCCACATTAAAACTTCTGAACTTCCGATCAAATGTCTGATTTTGGCTAAGATTTTGCAAACTAAAACAATTTTGTGTTACTGGATGTTTTCTCGCCCAGTGGTGGGAATTGCCAAAGACTTATTCAAAAAAAGCAACAGTCCATTCTAAAGATCCATTTGTCATAACAGAAATAACTTCAGTCACTTGTCAGACATGACATGGATAATTAGGCATCAGAGGCAGGCCCGCGTCCTCATTTATGTGCCAAACCCTGAGGGTGGGGGTGGTGGGGGCAGGGGTCTTATTGAATGGCTCCTCAGGAAAGCAGAAAGACTAGGAAGGAGACAAGGTGTGGGTGCATGGAGCCGTTTTTGTCTTTAACTCATGTGACCGATCTTCTCATGGGTAAGGCATTCTACAGATTCAAACCAATGTAGCCATAAAACCTTTTTTTTTTTAATTTATTAACCGTTTACATACTGGAAAATTACTAAAAAATTGGATCCTAGTTTTGAAGAAGAAAAATCGAGATCAATAGAAAGTTATTTTTTTTTATTCATGTATTACAAAAGCAAAGCTTCATTCACAACAGGAACTACAGACTAGATATAGTTATTTCAGCATTGAACTTCTCTCTGGAATCCCTAAACAATATAGTGTTTTGCAACCATACTCAAGTTTTATGTTTTGCATACAAAATATGTTCTTTACATCAAAGCACATATTAACAAAAACAAGTTCTAGAAATCATATACCCTCTAAGACTATTTAATGAAAAAGTCCTTAGCAGGGAATTTTTTTTTTTTAAATAATACATCCACTTGATAAATATTTTTGTAGAACTTAAAATGAGGTTTATCCCAACATTTCTTAAGTAATATTCCCTTTGTCAAACAGTTCTGCAGATGAATGGCAAACACTTATTTCTAAAATGAAATAGCACTGGAAAATATTCAAAGTAAAAGTCTAGCCTTTACTTGAATTTCAAGAAGTTGTAGCTACATACTGTATTAGTAAAATCTGAAATGAAATTTTTCCCTGTTAATCTCTTCACAGTTTCTTAAAAAAATATTAGTGGAGATAAATTATCTACCAACTTTAAAAATCTAAACTTATGTTCACTGAACAAAAATACATTTAGTTTCAGAACATTGCCTGTTAACAGCAAAGTACTATAAATAGTTCATGTTCAACTTTTCCTAGCAGCTCATTTCTATAAAATATTTGATTAAAAATAAAATGGGAGAAACGTATTCAACACTTAATGGAAGATAGTATCATCTTTCCGTGTATAAAATTTAACTCAGAAAATTTAAATAAAATCCTAAATCTTTTTAAAAATACAATACTAAAAAAGTTTATAAGGTAGATTTGATTCAAAAACTTTAGTGCATTTAGAATTAGTTGTAGCTCTCAAGCATTGACACCTTTGGGATACCAACTGTGCTCTTTTAAGTCATAGGAAAATTAGAATTATACATTCTAGTTTAATTATGAAAAAAGATATTTTCTGTTTAAATTAAAATGTACCTTCAAAACATCTATCTTTAGTTGCCAGAAAAAAAGTGTCACTATTTGGCCCAGAATATAGAGTTAAGAAACTGGTTTTAACAAGAGGGTTCTCTCTCTTTAATGAAAGCTTTCATTTTCTATCTTGGGGTATTGCTTTTATGTGAAGAATAAAAGTGAGAAGGAAGAAAATAATTACAAAAGCTTCCAAATGACAGCAACCTGTTTGTTTCTGGCAATAAATAAATACTAGAGCCAAGTTCCACATTTGGAAATGGTTGCATTCAAGCTGATCTGAGCAATGAGTGATTTAAGCAACAAGAGAAACACAACTGTAGATTCAGAAGCCCCAGATTTGACAAGGGAGAGAGTTATTTATAGTTTTGACAGACTCTTTGCTGCTCTTTGAACAATGCTGTTGAGGTTAGTTTTGACTGGATATTAAACCACGAGAACTCATTTTAATGGCTTTCTAGCATTTGGAAAGAAGGGCAGAAGATCCATTAACTTGGCACGTGGGGGTTTTGGTGAACGCCTACTGTCAACATTTCCCTTTTTATTTGCTATAGAAGAGTGTAAGTCCTTTTTGCTTAATAAATGCTTCATAGTTAGGGTATTCTCTTTAAGAAGCCGATTAGCAACACTTCCAAGATTTGGACCAAATTAAAAATGAAACTTTTCCAAAGTACACAGAAACCAACAGTTAGTAACAATATATTTTATTGTTTGACCAAGCTCTCTTAGAGTAAGCTAGTTATTACACAATATAAAAACAATAGCCTCCTATTCAAAATTATTCTAGGTTTAGTAAGTCATATTTTTGTAAACAAATTATCACATTTAAATGCATTTTATATCTATTTTCCCACTTTTGTACCCTTTCCTACTAAGGCGACGATTCAATCAGTCTCTAGTTTTGTCACTATCCTTGAAAAACTGGCAGAACTGCAAATAAGCATTACAAGCTGAATTCACAGAAAATATTTTAAATGGCCAATTCTGAAGGGAAAACCAGAATTTGTTTTGGTGGACACACGTTCTCATTTTTTTAAGTATTACTTCACCATCCTATTTTCCCATGTGTTTCTATACCCACCTCTTCTTGGAAATTACAGGCAGTAAATGGATAGAAGGCAAGAAATGGAAACTTCAGAGATTTTTTTTTTTTCTTTTGAAGGACTGCATTTCCAAGGAATAAGGTAGATGACTACCACTGTACCTCTTTGGTCATCAAAGGAATAAGAGGAATAACAGATTCTCAGTATACTTGTCAACCTCACCTGACACTAATAATAATGTCAGAGTGAAGAATTTAAATGAAAGATGCAAATTAAAAAAAAAGGCATCTTTAGAGATAATCCTGATATTTCTAGCATTTCATGTGGTTTTTACAATAAACCAGAATAAAAAGAATCCAATGGAAAACTGACATATTTAAACTAGAAATTGAACAAACAGGTATTTTAAGTATTAAACCCATTTTTCAATGTAGGTTTCGATTTCTTTTCAGAACTTTTGCCTCATATTTTTATAACTTGAATTTAAAAAGAATGACCTGTTTTACATTTCCCCTTAAGGAAAAAAAAAAAAAAAAAAGAAGGATCTGCTACACTAAATAGCTCTGTGATTATCAGGTGAAATGAAAGTACTGTGAACATTCAGCAATGTGAATGAAACAGCACGTTGACAAAGAACAAGGTTAAAGGCAATTCCTCTACTAAACACTGAAATAAACTGTAATAGACTTTGTAAGAGACAGTAATTCTACCATGTTGAATATGGCAGAAGTAATATCTAGCTGAATGTATATGTTGAAATACAAGAGTATCAGTAAGCTCTGAAGTGTTTATGGACCGTAAGTATGGGAAATGTAAATGAATACCTGTTAGGATTATGATTGCACTCCAGTTCTCAACTAAGTGAAAGGAAAAAACAGACACCAACGTGTCTCACTGCTCTAATACATAAATGAGCCTGACCAGATTTTTATAGAAAAAAAAAAATTTTTTTTTTTGTTTCCACTGACAAACTTATATTCTATAAATATATAGACTTTAAATTAGCAGACACCTTATTAGGAATGACCCCCCCCCCGGAAAAAAAAAAACCCAATAAACAAAACTATAAAACACAAAAAGGTAAAACCAAGTAAAGCATAATGTGATTATTTTCAATCAGTGTTGGTTATGCTGTCCCCTTGCAAAATGACAAGCAAAATCATACTTGTTTTTACATTTGCAACCACATATGTTACACTGAAAAGGATTTTCATACCCATGACATCCCATATGAATAGTGTAAAGGATATTGTCGGCAAAGTACATATCACAGTGCTGGCAGTGGTGTAGAAGCTGCGGGTCCTGGACCGGGAGGGTCGGAGCTGGAGTGCTCGGCTGGCTGTTTCCTATGCTGGGAGTACTCGTGTGGGCACTTGGTTCACTGCTCGGACCTGCCACCGGACTATAGTTCCTCTGACTGTGTGACGGCCGAGGTTCCGGGCTCGTGGGAGAGGAGCTCTGAGGAATACTTGCTGACACGGCAGCAACCACTGCTTGGGCAGAGGACTGCTGCATCATGAAAGGCTTCTCGTCAGGGCAGGGAACTACATCAGGAGATGCAGGGTTTTGGTTTTCTGGTGGCAAACTAGACAACTGTCCTGCCAGGGTTGAGAGCTGATTTAAAGGGTTGTCAACCATGAGTTCTTGGGGGTCCCTTGGTAGGCCACCAGTTGATGTGGTTTTTGCCATACTTTCATAGGAGTCAGTCTGGATATTTGGGATTTCATGGGTAAAATCGTTAAGGTAGTCTGGCTTCTGAACCACCATGGAAGGTGGACTTAAATTGATTAATGCTCTTCTGCTATAGCCCAGATTGCTTGTTTTCTTCTGTAAAACTCCCCACATTTTCTTGCTGCTTAAGGAAGACCTAGTACCTTTAATTGGTACCATTTTATGCTTGCGCCTTCGATGATGGGACAGGTTACTTCGATCACTGCAGCGGAAGGAACATAATTCACATTTGTATGGTTTTTCTCCTGTATGGGAACGCATGTGGGCTTCCAGATGACGCTCATAAGCAGATGCAAATGGGCATAAGTGACATCTATGAGGTTTCTCACCTGTTTAAAAAGAAAAATGGGGGAGAAACTGCAAGAGTAGCTCATTTATGGAAAGTTTCATGTGTTGTCCATTCATTAGACTTAGAAACTGATCAGGTTTCTTTGCAAAGAAACCTGTCAACTTAAAGCCTTAACTCATCAGCAACAATTTGAGATCTATAGATATGTTCTATTAGTCAGTATACTGTAGAAATTGTTATGGCTTCAACTGGCATCTGGGGAAAGAGTAGCAAAACTGACAATAATATTCCCTACATAATAATGATTTTATCAAAAGTACACGTCAGTTATGTTTGAGCACATCTATACATGAACACTTCTTCAAACATATTCACACACAAATACCCCTTCCTCAGGGAAAAATACAAAAAAACTTTTCTAAAAAGTTATTCTATTAAATAGAAAGCTCAAAAGGGAAATGAG